GTGAAGAAAATCGTATTAAATTTTAACGGATCGCTAATAACGTTTCTCTTTAGAAGATCAACGTGACAAATTTTCTTTCGTAGCTTTTTTCTTTTTCTTTTCATTAATTTCGGCGCTTTTCAAGGATGCTTCTCTCTCTCTCTCTCTCACGCTCTCTCTCTCTCTCTCTCACTCTCTCTCTCTCTCTCTCTCTCTCTCTCTCTCTCTCTCTCTCTCTCTCTCTCTCTCTCTCTCTCTCTCTCTCTCTCTCTCTCTCTTTCTCATTTTGATAACACACGTTTCGAGGGTTCAATTCTTCTTTCGTTACAATTTTCTATACATTATATATATATATATATATATATATATATATATATATATATTTTTTTTTTTTTATTACATGTATATATATATATATCTCCTTTGGATTATTTTTCTGTATTTTTTGTTTATTTTTTTTTGTTTTTTTTTTGTTTTTTTTTGTTTTGTTTTTTTTGATTTACACGATCGATCGAAGCGAAAGCCGATATTAATAATAAATTTATATTTCGCGAACAGTTAGGGTTACTGTGTTTTATCTCTTTTTTTTTTCTTTTTTTTTCTTTTTTTTTTTTTTTAATAAAACAGTCAACAATAGTTGTTCGTAAAACGCTGCGCCCTTTTGCATTTTCTTATCTGGTTTTTTTTTTCTTTACTATTTTTTCTTTTTTCTGCTCTTTTTCTTCGGTTTTTTTTTTTTTTTTTTTTTTTTACTTTATAATATCGGAATCAATGGCGACGCCAAGCAAAAACGCGTATTTCTATAGTTCTTTTTTAGTCCTGTGTTCTCTTTCGCACGAGTAACGATGGCTAATCTCTCTTTTACTGTAGTTACGTCCGTAAATTCTGATTAGGGAAAATACGCTCGATTTTAAATCTCCCCGCATTCATAAAACACATTCGGATTACAAATGTACAAAATGTGAATTAGGATAGTTTGTTGCTGTTGTTGTTTGTTGTTCTTGTTGTTGTTGTTTTTGTGTTAATTATACTATACTATACAAAAATGTTTTGCGCATTCTAAAAGTTAGTGTGGACTTTGCTGGATCCATCGTTGATTTTATAGGACTTTGTTACATCGACGAATTTATATCTGTGATATTTCTTTCTTTCTTTCTTTCTTTCTTTTTTTCTCTTCTTTTTCATCTTCTTCTTCTTCTTCTTCATCTTCTTCATCCTCTTTCCTTTATCCTAATAACCAGAAGTCTTTTTCGTATTAGAGGCGCTCAATCGAACAAAGTCTTTACTTCGTAATATACCTTACACACATTATTTAAATGAAAAAAACGAAGATGGATGATGTTTATACAATGTACGTATATTAATTGCATTCGAATTTTTTTTTTTCCTTTGTTTTTTTTTTTTTTTGTTTTCTTTTTTTCCCAAGCGGAAACGATACTCGCGAATATTTCGTATAGATTTTGTCAAATATAAACTATATCCATTTTTAAGAAATATTATCGTGGTTAAAAAAGTCTATCGGTCCGTATTGATATTACGCATTACGTCACGTTAATTAGAAAGAAAAAAAAAAAAGAAAAAAAAAAAGAAAAAAAAAAAAGAAAAGAAAGAAACACAGGCACGTTCGCTCGCTCGTACGCGCACACACGCGCGCACACACGCGCGCACACGCACACATGCACACACACACACACGCACACAAACACACACACACTTTGGATGTACGCATGTGTAAATTTACGAGTAGCAAAAAAAGAAAAATAAATAAATAAATAAATAAATAAATAAAAAAAAAAAAAAGAGGAAAAAAATATTAAGAAAAATTTTTACAAGGGAAAATTTACAATTCTACTCGGGGTAGAAGATTCTTATTGGAAATCTATGTAACAATTGTCGTTCTGATAATCTTCTTCTAAGAAAGGTGAAAAAAAAAAAATGTTCTTTCATTGTGAAGACGCAGCGTGTGTGGCAGTATTTCTCATATGTAAACGGTGTGTATAGTATAATATGTGATATGGTATAAGATTTATGTATTTATTAAAAGCGCGGGATATTATTAAGTGTCAATGATTTTTTTTTTTTTTTATGATGATAAACGATATTCGATTTATGATATGATATATATATATATATATGTATATATATATATATATATATATATGTATGTATGTACGAATGTTTGTTGTATGTATGTATGTATGTATGTGTATATACATATATATATATATATGTATATACATGGATATACGGCATATATATATATATGAACATATTTGTTGTTAACGTTTTTATTTGCTGTATATATCGGCTAATCAAATCTGTCAAATTGAGATCATATTTGAATTATGTAACAATTTGAACGATGTAACGATCCGCAATGCGTATATATATATATATATATATATTTATATATTGTTCTAACGATGTGTTACGATTTCGAGAGTTATATTAAAATGACGAAATTTAATTTCGATAGATTATTTCGTGACTGTCATTGAAAGATAATAAGGGAGGAGAAGAAAAACAAACAAAAAATGATTCGTTCTTGATGGGACCTTTAATATATCGCGAATTTAGTTTATTTATTAATTAATTAATTAATTAAT